CCCCCAATTTATCTGAAAAAGGGGTGTCTGGACATACAAAATGGTTATAGTTCAAAAACTATTGAACATAGGAGCTTCAGGTTTTCGTTGGTTGTTCAGCTCTGATGAGGGGCTGTCAGCAGGCCCAACAATGCCACCCACAAAAAATAAATAAAAAGACCCCCACCCAAGCCAGCATGACATTTATTAGGAATAAAGACTTGTGAGTTCTGGTGCATTTCTGCGTGTGGGGGGTCATTGTGTTTCCACTACGCAGTGTCTAGTTTTGTTACATATTTTTGTGGCCATCATGTCCCTCATCATATTTTAGTAAAAACTTATTTTCTGATCTCAACATTTTCATGATTATCAAACTTTTGTTATACATTGACTGTACCAATAATTATAATTCACCCAGAACTCATTTGGTCATTTGTTTGTATGTAAATAAAGATGTTAAATCTAGTTTCTTTTATGTGAAACCAAGTATCAACTAATTTTTGAACCCTAAGAGAGACAAAGTAAATCGAGCTAACCTAACTTCCCACTAGCATTACTCATTCAGATATGTATATACCACTGCTACTAACTAAAGAAATCTGAGTTGCTGCTGCTTCATTCTTCATTCTTGGCGGCACGATGGCTCAGTGGTCAGCACCATCGCCTCACAGCAAGAAGGCCCTGGGTTTGATCCCCGGATCGGACCTGGGGTCTTTCTGTGTGGAGTTTGCATGTTCTCGTCGTGCTTGGGTGGGTTTTCTCCGGGTACTCCGGTTCCCCCCCACCCCCAAAAACATATATGATAGGCTGTCTTCAGGCCCAGGCCGCCCTTGAAAAAGAGACTTGCCTGGTAAAATAATGGTAAATAAAATAAAAACATTAACTCTATGTAGAATTAATGTTTTTATTTTATTATTAATTATGTCAGTAAATATGTAACTAAATCAAACAGCCGAACAACTTTGAATGACACAAAGACAAATCGTTTATTTTGATACCACTAAAAAAAGGTTACAAAAACTTTTGTTTTCAGTTTCAACACAAAACATTTAATGAAAAGACAAACTTTTACCACCTATTTTCCTTAGAGCTTCATAAAAATCGAACAACTTAACATAAAAATTTACTCCATAATTGATTCAAATCCATAAAATAATCTAAATATTTGCATGATTATGTAGGTTTTAATCCAAATATTTTTTTCTTTCAAGCTTTTTATTTCTGTTTTCATTCATTCCTACAAAGTCTCCTACAGACTTTCAAAATAAATGTGACTCATCACATCAAAATGAGGATTAAGTACAATGTGGTCAAAATGACCTCATTACAATTTCAGATTCCTGATTTAAAAGCTACATTTTGTTACCTGGTTCATTCAGATATATTAAGTGGATCTAAAGATGTGACTTAATTTGTCTTGTTGGTTAAAATGATACGTTACTGTTTGGTCTGAATCCTGATTTAATGTAAATTTATTAAGTAGTTTTTGATGTTAACATAAAGAGGAAACCTCAAATAATATGTGTATATTAAGATTTCCCAGCTGGAAAGAAACAAACATTTCTAGCTCACAAGGAACAATTCAAAATTTTAAGGCATTTTTCCTCAAAATCAGTTTTTTTTGTTGCTACTGCTCAAAAAAATGCTTCAAAAATTTATTTTAGGATTATATTTCAGACAGTTCATTTAAATGTTAGATTGATAAGGCATTAATTCAATATATTTTGACAAAATGTAATTTTTGCACGTGTTTAAATGAAAATCCTACATCTGCCTGTTTCGCCACATTCAACTTTTGGATTTAATCCTTGTTTTGATGTGATTGGTCACAAATGTGTTTTCATTTTTTCATTTCCTTTTTCCAATTCCCCCTCCGTGGGACAATAAAGGCTGTTTAGTGTTTTTCAAATATTTAAAATCACTATCATTTAACTTCAGCAGAACATTTAGATGAAACCTGGTCCTAGATGACAAGAGGTCTGTAGAATCATTTGAGACATGTTTTTATAACTAAATACAGCAGGTAAAATAAGTATTGAACACGTCACCATTTTTCTCAGTAAATATATTACTAGAGGTGCTAATGACATGAAATTTTCACCAGATGTTGGTAACAACCCAAGTGATCCATACATACAAAGAAATCAAACCATAAATGTCCAGAAATAATGTCCAGAAATGAGGTTATTTGTAATAATGTGGAATGGCACAGGGAAAAAGTATTGAACACACTTACTGAAATTTAT